GAGGTGGGACGTTGGAGTGAGAGATGCTATCGGCCAGCTGCTAAATGACCAGAAATTACTCCGGGAAAAGATCACGGATTTGGAGGGACGCTCACGCCGAAACAATTTACGGATATATGGCATCCCTGAAAATGCGGAAGGCACCTCAATGCAGAGGTACGTGGAAAATATGCTTAAAACTGAACTCGGTAACGGTTTGGACTTAGGCAGTGAGAAGAATCTGGGGATAGAAAGAGCACACAGAGCGTTGGGTGCGCGGCCTCCACCTGGTGCCCCACCTCGATCCACGGTGGTACGCTTCCTGAAATACAACGTCAAAGAACAAATCCTCCGCGCGGCGTGGAAGAAGCCTATCTATATACAAGAAAAACGTATATTTTTCGACCACGACTATGCTGAAACCATACAGCTGAAGAGGAGAGAGTATGCCCCGGTTAATAAAGTGCTCAAAGAGAATGCTATCCGGTTCCAAACCCCGCTAGCCAAAATGCGTGTACACTTTGACTCAGGCATGATGATCTACAACAGNTCCTCTCTGTCAACGCTCTCTGGTTTCATTTAAAAGAGTCGATCATCAGATATTGTCCAAGATTAACCTTCAGGGTGGATATAGCTCGCTAGCACAGTGTGCACTCTTTCAGGTAAGACATTAAATGAATTTTCGAATCATTTTGAAACAAAAATGTCTGATTTTCAGAACTCTGATGACTCAGATCAACATCTGTGCCTGTCTCATCCTTGGTTTGAATATATAGTTGGTGACAGCTACATGACATTTCTGCTTCACGAACCGGAGACGCTACCGTAGGTGCATCACCAGACTTCGTCTCTTGCCCTACATTTCCCGCTTCCTGCACGTCTCAGTCGTTTATGATCTTGTTCAGTGCGTCTTATTTATGGGCTGTCTTGTTATTTTGTGACTCTGGGGGCTTTGGGGGAGTTTCATTACAGATCCCTCTTTAATTTCAAACCCAGATCTGCACGCTTCATTGGACACCCATAAGGAAAGCCACGGAGCAGGACGAGGAGATGAGCTTTTTATGCGCGTGTGAGTGAAGAAGAATAATAGTTTTGTTTTCCCATCCACGGTTGACAACAATGTGCTACCAATTTAGTGCACGACGGCGAAGCATTCACAATGAACACGCAGCAAATAGTTCATTGAACATCTCTTTTCGCTGGAAAAGAGTCCCTCGTGGGTTTTCTAAATGCACACACTAACTGGAGGGCACTTTAATTAAAATACACTCGTGGCTGTCACAGCGGCCTGTTACAGTCGTTTAAGAGAGACGTTGGTTCAGTTAATTATTCTGTTAATTGGCCGCCGCTCCTGATAGAGAACACTCAGGTTTTCAACAGGCGGACTTCTTTCTTTGTATTCCTGCTCTAATTGATGCATTGAAAGCACGGGGGGCATTTATGGGCCTCCCACTCAAAGTGGGGTCTTAAAAGAGAAAACCTTTTAAGGGACGCGTGTCTGCAAGTTAAATCCCCCCATCACCTTACTTTAAAGGGTATGGGTCTTAAAGAGCAATACACTGCATTAATGAACGGGAGAGTTTCTGGTTAATTTGCTCTTCAAACCAAAATCCCCAGTTTAGCTTTTTTCTCCCTTTTCTCTTTTTGTTTTTTTGTTTGTT